TATTTATTTATTTATTTATTATATTCACATAACTACAAAATAAATAAAAATGTTGTCACAAATCCTTTTGTTACCAACCAGTATCAAACTGAATTTGTCTTAAAGACATAACTTACTGTTATACAATAACTATCAAATCAAGTAAATCATTTTTAGGAATCAAATTACATTTTAAACAGTTATAATCGATTCTTAATCTATTCTTGATTAATTTTACATCGTTACTTTTTATTCCAGGTACGATGTGTAACATTAACATCGATGAATGTGCCATCAACCCCTGCCGCAATGGAGGCACCTGCATCGACGGCATCAACAGCTTCACCTGCGTTTGTCCGGATGGTTACCACGATTCCACCTGCTTCTCTCAAGTCAACGAGTGCCTGAGCAACCCCTGCATCCACGGTCACTGCGAAGACCAGATTAATGGGTACAGCTCTCCAAAAATGTGGCCTAACACCGAAWGGCTGAGCTTAAAAGCATGTTTTACATTCATTTCCAACAAACACGTTTTGACTGATGTTACAACTGCTTTCCTGCCAGCTATAATTGCCTTTGTGATTCTGGCTGGAGTGGCAAAAACTGCGACATCAACAACAATGAGTGTGAATCCAACCCGTGCATGAATGGAGGCACCTGCAAGGACATGACCAGCGGATACGTTTGCACCTGTCGCATGGGCTTCACTGGTCAGTCTCTGTTTTGTGAGTCGTTGACCTCGGTCTGAACTGRTGTTTGTGTAATTTATTGTCCGCTCTGACCTCAGGGCCGAACTGCCAGACAAACATCAACGAGTGCGCCTCCAACCCCTGCCTCAACCAGGGGACCTGCATCGATGATGTCGCTGGGTACAAGTGCAACTGCATCCTGCCTTACACGGGTATGAAAATATTGTTGAAGATGTTTGATAACAGATTCCCGTGTTAGCCTGGTCTTCTGGAATTTCCTTACTGGAGGCTATTTTCCAGAGTTCGTGCTCTTAAAGCTATTGAGAAAAGAGGAAAAATGTGCTGCTGATGAAGTAACCGTCAAGCAAAGTTCAGTCATAAGACTTCCTCAGGGCTCAGAGACACCAAACCTCCTCTGCTCTACTGTGATACAAAAGCGTCCCGGACAAGAACTAGGAAATGTGTTCAGCTCATCTTGTTTATTTTCTTTCACCAGACAGATAATGGCGGAAAGGCCAAGTATAGGTTTCTTGTACTTTTCTTGTATTTGTTGGAAGCATCTACGGGACTTTAAATAAGAAAAAGCCTTGGGYTGGTGTTGGGGTGGGAACGTGGTGCCTGACACATTTCCTGTTTGCCTGCTTCCTGTCTCACAGAACAGCAAATGGCTTCACAATGGCCGGAAGCTGGAGTTGGCTTCCTGTACGAGCTGCGTATTGTGGAAACAGATAGACTTATCTCCMCAGGCTTCTAATACTGACAGAGCCTAGATAAAACCCTCTGAAAGCACTGATTGAAAGATGACTCTGTGTCCATTTGGTTTGGGTTATCTCCAAGTTCTTAAGTCAAGTATGAGGTCACACAGTGAAGTAAATGGTAAAAGATCTTGGTTTATTGTGTGTTTATGTGTRTGATGCAGGAGAAAACTGTGAAATCTTGATGGACCCCTGCAGCTCCAAACCCTGCAAGCATGGAGGAGTATGTGAGGAGTCAGAGGACTATCTGAGCTTCTCCTGTGTCTGTCCTGAAGGGTGGCAGGGTGAGCGTTTATTCATGTATGCCTGTGTAAATATAAGCAGAAAGGTTCTTGCTGCRTGTTCCAAAGATTTAATGATACATAGACACTATACACCACATGAAACCTCTATCAAACCCTTTTTTGGTTATTATTGCAAAACAGTTTAATTTACCAAAGATTTGACCAGAGATGGGTAGAGTACCCAAAAGTTGTACTCAAATAAAAGTATCACTGCTTCACCATATTTCTCAAGTATTAGTACAAATTAGCCGTTCAAGAAATGACTCATACAGTATAAGGGTAAAACGTATTTTGTAAAAAAGGCTACTTGAATACTGAGTAACTGATCATAACATCTAATTTAACATTTTAAAATGATGTCACAAATACTGACAAAAATAGAAACTTATGTGAAAATTCTGGTGTTTGTAAAGACTAAGTTGAAGAAAATTAATACAAATAAAT